ATAGTGTGGATATGGCTGAGACTAACCTGTACAAGGTATGAGGGCAGGAGAGCAGCCAGGGGAGGGTTGCAAAATAGCTCCTCTGTGTTCCTCTGGCCTCCTACAGTTCCCCTGCTCATACCAGGGCTGTTACTGCTCAGGGCCAACGTACCTGCTGTACCCTCTCCCTGGGGGAATAGGCCTTATGTGTTCTTTTAGGTTCTTTCAGATCTCAGCTCAAGCAGCACTCTGTGGGAAGCACTGCCTCAGGACTATAGCATGTCTACATCTGACCCATGTTAGCTCCTTTGGATGTGTCTGTGCAGGCATGTCAGTAGATGCCATGCTTTCTTCCAGTCACCAATATGCTGGATTCACTTTCTGCTCCAGAGTGCCAGGCCTTCATTGCCTTCATGGCCTTCATTGCCTTCATTTTCACATCCTCTACAGCAGTTAACTCTTCATGTGTGCTTATTTGATGAGTGATTGGATGAATGGATGATAACACTGAGAAACAGCTGCCCATTTCAATGAAGGATTCCTGGATTCAGTCTCTTCAGGTCCCTTTGGGCCAGTTCTTCCAGAGAGAAAAGTGCTGGCTGCTAGGGTTCTCAGAGCTGATTGGAGAAATACTCGAAATGTAACCTACCGACCTTTTTTTGTTTCTCAGAAAGGACCTTTCCCTGTCTTCTCTGCTGGCATCAGGTCTGAAACTCTGAGTCAACCCTTCTTAGGGAAACTCTTGGATCTTAGGGGCCTGCGGGGAGGCATATAGAAGGCAATCACACGGATTCATGTATGCACATGTTGGGGGCTGGTGGGAGGGAAACTGGCAACCCTCACCATGAGCATTCTCAGCTCTACCTGCTCTCTCTGATCTCCAAGCCATTCCAGGCTCTTCAGGGTCTATCCGTGACTGCTGCAGATGCAGTCGAAGACCCTGGTGTGGTTGCCAATTCCCATGGTGTAAACTCTCCTGCCATAGCCATCACCACAGGGTTTTTAGAGATCACTTTCTGCCCACCCTTCCCATAAGAGAATAAGACCCACTGTACCTGCTTTCTTCCAACACCTCCTGGCTCTTCAAAGAAACAAAATTTGATTTCTTTTGATGTTGGTTACCAGGAATTTCAAGTCTTCAAGATTTTTTTAAAGCCTGCTTTTTCCAGGATCTCCTTTCCTACAATTGCTATGTGCTGTGTGTTTTGACAGAAAATAGAAACAGGCAAAAGGATACCATGAATACAGTACAGCTTAGAAACAAAGCTCTGTTTTTGTTTTATTTTTTTATCCCTCCTGTCACTATGTATCTACTCAGTGCTTGAATACCCATGGTGTTGTTTCTGCAATTTGGAGATGCCTGGGCACTGTTAGCTTTTCTGGAAAGTCCCCTAGAAGACCATATGTTAAAGGGTTATTCCTCAGCTTGGTACCACTGAGAAGTGAAAATGTTAGAGAGAGTGAGGTCTTCCGGTTAGTGGGACTGTTCCCTGAAAGGGAGTGTGGGATCCCCAACCCCCTTTTTGTTGGCCAGAAGCTGAATCAGTTTTCTGTGCCCTACCATAATGTACTGTTTCAACACAGGTCCCAAACCAATGAGGTCAACTGGATTGAAACACCCAGAGCTGAGTCAAGCCTACCAGTTTTCTTCATGAGACCAATACCTTCATCATTTGTAACAGTTGCAGAAGTTAACATAGTGACCTGAGAATTTTGAAAAGGCCTGGAAGTAATTCTTTTATTGTATGTGTGAGTATTTTGCCAGCATGTATGTCTGTACCATATGTGTGCCTGGTGACTGTGGAGGCCAGAAGACTTTCCTGGATTTCATGGAATTAAAGACACAGATGTTTGTGAGCCACTGTGGGTGCTAGGACTTGAACCAGAGTTCTCTAAAACATCCAGTGCTCTTAACCACTGAGCCAACTCTCTAGCCCCTTGAAATAATTCTTAGTTCTTCTCTCCTGCTCCCAACGCACTCACTAGTCCTAAGCCGGGGCACAGAGTTTGAGATCTGTTCTCCACTTTCTAAGCTTTTTTCTTGCCTTCATACTAGATTGTGTTTGTGTGGTTGCAGTTTTATGTATTTCTAGAATTCACCCGCGTCCATAGCTCTCACCATGCTATTTTAGGCTCTGCTTACCCTATAGGTGCTGAGGCAACAACATTCCATTTTGTCTTTCTTTCCTCCAATCCAGTCTGCCCCATAGCAGAGGACATTGTGTCACATTCAGTCCTTGTCTGAAACATGGCTCCTCACTGTCCAGTCCCAAGGCATAGGATACCTGTCCTGTCATGGCCACTGTCTCCTTGTGTCTGTAAACACAGTGTGTCTTTTGCCTATATGCTTCACTTTGAGCCAGTTCTGACAGGAACAGCTTCTCTTCAGTATCTGGCAAGCACACTCTGAAGTTCCACTGTCAATTGCAGAACTTTCTGTTCGGGTCCTTCTGGAAATAGCACTGGGTTCAGGAGCACAGCAGTCACACCTCCCAGTCCTTCCGGGAGCTCCTCCTTTGCTCATGTCTCATCTAGGCTGTTACCCAATTTGTCTTTATAACTTCTTTCTGGAACATGACCCCTTTCTTCCTCCTCTGTATTGTGCCCACCACACTCCAACAGGTGTCACTTCAATTTTCCTGAAACCTGTCACTCACCACCCTTAGGCATTCTCCACCTCACAATTGCAGTGGATACCTCCAAGACAGCACCAGGCTCCCCACCAACCATGGCTAGCACTTTTTTCCTATCCATGTCATCTGGTACCTTTGCAAGACTTTCTGGGCACTTAAGCTTGCTGCCACAATACAATATTGCAGCACCCTTCTGAAACAGCACTGCCCAGCCGGATGAGCCTGATCCTCCCAGCTCCCAGCTCTTCCGGTTGCTGGAGCTTTCCTGTGCAGAGGCCCAGGCTGCCTTCCCAAAAAACGGAAGGCAACATCTTTTTAATGGGTGGAAGCTGGGGTTACAGGTAATAATATTCACTGCAGTGAGCAGTGTTTGCCACTTTCATGTAATGGAATGTCATAGCCATTAACATTTGGAGAGTATTTATTGGTATGGGAAAATGCTCACAATATGTTAAAAAAAAGCAAGGTACAAATCTGTAAACACAGCATGATCCCAATCTGGTAGTAAAATAAATTATATATGCATAGAAAAAATACAGACGGGAGTACACTAAACATTAACAGCGATGCTCTCAGCGTGGGAGGGCTCTGGGTCGGTAACTAGTTTTATTGTTTCCCGCATTTCCCAAATATTCTATAATGGGCAGGTAGGACTTTGATAGACACAGGGGCGGGGGTTGGGGGGTGGAAGGTGGGAGAAAGTTGATGCAGATTGACACCTAGTCCTGGGAGGCAGCAAGACTGTGCCGAGGCACTGTTCAGTCATTTGCAAAGTTTCATTCAGCTTGTGTCACATATGAAGGAATGGTACCATTGGCCTTGTCTGCCACTAAGGACCACTGGGCATGTGACAGGCTCACAGACATCTGGGAACCGTTTCTCTGAGGAGCTCAAATGCCTTGTTTTAGTACATGCTTCCCCATCTAGCCTTCACTTCCAAAGTCCAGTGTGGGTAAAGGGCTGTAAACTGCAGTGGTCGGACACTGAAGAGGGAATGGCCCAGGTCTTCATCTAAAATCTGTAAAGTGACCAAGCTTCTCACTCCCTCAAGGTTAAGTCTGAGACTGTTGCTAAGATGGTTATTGCTTAAAACGGCCTGAGAAGGCCCACCTTCAACAGCCTGTACTGCTTCTCTCTGAGAGCCTCTGGCTATGTGGTCCGGCAAGCAGCGGGGAAGGTGCAGGAGCTAAGCGTGCAGCTGTACCCTGACCCTGTGGGGCTGGGGGGCGAAGGGGGAGTTCTTTGGAGAGGCTTTGCCTTGAGATGGGGTGAAGTTAGAGAGACTCAAGACTTGATGTTCAGTGCTCTGTGTGCAAGGTGAAGCTATTCCATCTTTAAAGATAAATAAATAAATAAATAAATAAATAAATAAATAAATAAATAAATAAAACTGCCCAATCAAGTGAAAGGAACTCGCTGAAAGCCTCAGAGAACAGCTGGAGCACCTTGTGAACACTGCCTGGAGCTGAAGGTGAAGTTTCACTAGGCAAGTCCTGATTTATTAGGACACTCCTGGAAAAAGCTGACACTCATGTAAAAGATACCTGACCAGAGTTTATAAATATACTTTTCAGAATGATTTGTGGAATGAAATAACTAAGTTCCTCTTCTCTAGATTTTTTTCACTTAAGCTAAAATCACGAATTGCCAAATAAAACAAAAATTTTATTGGTGGTTCCATTGGCTAATACATGGATCACTGCAAACTCTTCTCAACAGTTATGGTTGGAAGTCCTATAATGTATGTACACTCCCTAATTTTTTTTTATAAAGTATTCTGATTGGTTTATTCTTTTACAGCAGCTCAGTGCCACTATTAGGAAAATATATCTATGGCCATACTATCACACAGTACTTTCTGGGCCAGACTGAGTGCACTTTGGTAAGTAGAGTTCCAGGTTTGCTCTGCCTTGGATGGTATTTCCCTCCCCGATCGTGGCCTGCACACTCATCCCCATTTGAGCTGGGATGAATGGTGCTGCATGCCTCCCACCTCTGGCCCATTTCTTTTGCTGTTTTCAGTGAGCCTACTTTAAATCCAGTCAACTCTTTTTCTGCCTTTTTGTTGGGGGTGGGGCTTAAAGGCCAAGCAATCAAACATAATGATTTGTAAATCAAAATGAACATAAATCTTAGTAATGTGATTATTCTTCAAAGGTTCCCCTCAGAGTGAATTTTAAGAAACTCACTGCTATCTCTCTGACAGCTAGAATACATGGTTTTGCTAGAAATAGTTTAGGATCAAGGCCATTCTCACGAGTACTCTGCGCACTTTGTCCTTGAAAGAGGCTGTATGAAGACAAGTGAGGAACGATGGAGAACACTTTAAAACAAAGTGTACAATGATGTTAGCCCATGGACCCATAAAGAAACACACACAGAGATGGCTAAATTGAATCATCCCCAACATTTTATTTAAAGTTTTAAAAGGCAGTGGTTAAGCACATAATCTATGTGTGCATATATCTATGTACGTGTATCTACACATACATACATATATGAAAGGAAACCAACCCCTTTCAACTTTAGCCACTGATCAACTTGGCCCGCTGCCTACATGATTGCACGTCTACTTCATATAACCATTTCTAAGAGTAAAAATAAACAGCCTTAATCAGTTTAATAGTAACTATTTGTGTTTCTTTTTTTTTTTAAATAAATAAAGTTACCATTAAACTGATCACATATGGTAGAAAGAAAGGTAGAACACACACACAAATACACACAGAGACCCCTGTTTAAAACATGTGACATACGAATGACTTTTATGTACAAATGTGTGCTGTTGGCTCCCTACCCCCAGCACAGGCCACGAGAGAACTCCCACTACCCAGGGAGCCCCATCCTCTCTGTTGCCTGGAGGATGAGTGTGTACTTGGCACCCTGAGTGGTACCTCAGAATGCGCACTCTGGATGCAGCGATGCAGATGGTGGTCCAGCCCTACGGTACTAGTAGTGTTTAGGAACAAGAGGAATAAATAGGCACGTGTAGCTGCCGGGAACTAAACCATCATTTCTAACTCCTCATAGGGAGAGATTTAATTTGAAGTTTTAGCTAAGTGACATAAAAACTTTTAGAGTGTAATAGGTTTGTAAGTCTGGGGCTGTGTGTGTTGTGTGTGTGTGTTTCCACATTTATAAAAACTGAAATGAAGTGTGGGAATAGGTTTACAGAGCAGCTGCCTGGCTTTCATTCAGTCAGTGCTGATCTAAGGAGTCACTCGCCTCAGCCCTTATGTACCAGCTCCTCGGGCTCTCACGTGCCTTGGGTTGCTAGAGACTCAGCAGGGGCGGCTTTCACTGGTGGGTGGAAGGACGCGGTTGAACCTTTAGCTGGGAATTCCAGCAACAAGATCGAGCAGGCTGCTTTGCAGTGAGGTTCCGTACTCCATCCAGATGAAACGGGATGGCTGCTTCTGCTTCTAGCCTCGCAACTCTGCCTACCACAGCTCTGTATGAATGCCTAGATGTTGCAGAAAACACAGGATCACCTCTTAAATACGCTGGATTCCCAATGAGTAAACCAGTTAATGTGTTTCTAGCCACAGTGAGGGCATAAATGTTTTAGAGAAGATTCCCCTGGAGCTACAGAGAAAAGATGCTGATAAAAGCCATATGAGAATGAGCAGGTGACGATGCTTTCAGTCTGTGTCGGAGCTGGTCTCTTCGATGACAGAATACTGGCTGAGTGCTTCCTCCAAAGGCGTTATTGTCCCATCAGGTTTTAGTCCCATTGGTTTAAGCAGCTCCTCTCTGGAAAAAGAGATAAAAGAAAGAGAAAAAAAAGTATTCACCAGCATCACACACATACCCCTCCCCCACCCAAATTCACATCCTTTTAAAAAGAGAAGTCTTTAAAAACCAAAGTATTTTCTCTCAAGCTCTCTGTGTGTTTGTAATAGAAAGATGAAAGGGGCACAGAAAGAAAGAGGCACATGAAAGGCTTCATTCACACAAGCCAAACCTAAGCCAATTAAAGTAGGAGAAGTCAAGGTCCAAATGTGCTCAGGACAAGGAGCAGGTCTCTTTGGTTTTGAATAATTAACTTTATTTTCCTTTTGTGGATTCATTTTGTTTTAGAGAAGTTGAAGCTACCAGACTTTGACCTGCTCAACGTATTAAACACACGTTTCATTTAATGGAATCAAGTTGTCAGATTTTTGGTTTTATTTACATCATCTCTGACTCACAAATACCTGTTGGTTCGTTTCAAATCAGTTGGATTTCCCCAAGTTTCCTTTCCTTTTCTCTCTTTCCTTCTTTTTGTTTGAAACACCATTGCTTTTGTTTGTGGCAGTTTAATTATGGGATTGACAGCCATTTTAATCTCTTCAAAGCTCCCCAACTGTCTCTCTTCACCTAATCCAATTGTATCCACTCCACAAGTTACAGCCTCATCTAAGGTGATTAATTATTGATTAAGCCAATCAAAAAGCATACGGAAAGATTTATTTAATCTTTTCATAGAACTTATTTATTACACGGAGATTGTGACGATTGTACCTACTGAGTTGCTAACACCAATCCTTCCACTCCCAATAGGCTCATGGTGCATTTAAGAGGGCTGTCAAAAGGCTCAGAGCCCCTTAAAACTCATTTCTCATGGAAACGGGCACCACTGCCCGAGAACATGACGCAGCAGCTATAATGTTGGTGGACCGTGGGGTGAAGGGCAACAATGGCACTTGTTTCCCTCTGCTCCTTGCCACTGTCCTTTCCGGCAACACAGAGAAGGGAAGTTCCCTCCTGGGAAGGGACAGCTATATAACTGATTGCACAGTGACACCTGGTGAGGTGAGCTCAGCTCACTGACAGGGGTTAAAGCAACAAGAGCCTAAGCAAGTGACTCTGGCCAGCACCAGAGGATGACTTTTCTGCTCAGGAAATGTGGCTGGCTGGCTGGCTAAACTGAGGCTCCTGCATATTATTTGTAGGCAACAGGATCAGAATCAGAAAGCTTAAGGTTGGAAGGAGCTCAGAGATCATTTAGTCCAATCCCCTTCTTTAAAAGGAGGCAGAGTGACTTACCCAAGGCCACTTAGTGGCAGAGTAGGGCCCAGGACAGGTCTCCTAAAACCTAGTCCAGTGCTCTCTGCAGTAAATCCCATCTCAAATGACTGCTCTAACTGCACAGAAAAGCAGTTGAGTTCACTGCTCTACAACTGAAAGGAGCTGCCACTTCCTGGGCAGGAGAGGAAGACAAGTGGCAGCTGCTGCCCGTGATGAATGCAAAAAACAAACAGACCCAGGATGACTCAGGCCACAGACAGAGTAAATGTCCTGAGAGAACTGCAAATGCTACACTGTGTGGCTCCTGAGAGGAAGCATGGCCACTGTACCTGGGGGAGGCAGAGAAGGCACCACAGATGAGAGACCCTGTGCCAGGCAAAGGAGACTGCAACAGGTCTCATTGTCTTGTGTGACTGCATCAATTCACCTTTTCTGCTTTGTATTCTTGTGAGGCTGGACCAGGGACCAATGTTTACAGAGTAGAGGTTCAAGGAAGAAGTGAGGGGCAAGAGAGGTAAGGAAGTTGCTTAGCATTTGCCCTAGATAGTGTCTACTGGTTCGCACCCTATGGTGGTGGTGTGATAGGCACTGGAGCAGGTGACAGACAGGTTAAGCATTAGGAGGTCATTGTAATGGTGTATGCAGAAGGAGGGAGAGATGGATTATGGCTGAGGCTGTGGGAAGGAAAGGCATCGTGCCTCAGGCAGGTGTGGAAGGGAGCTGGTGAGGGTGAGGAGTAGTGTCCCTATGGCTCCAGCGCAAACACTACAGGACAGATTCAGTGGAAGAATGTTATTTTTCAGGACACAAAGAGTTTGAATGACCTTTGTGGCAAGCATATCAAAATGGCAGTAAAGAGCCCTCAGCAATTCTCTAGCCCTGCTATGACCCAGTCACAGTTTAGAGTTCACATTTTCTAGTTCTGATGCAAGGGGACAATTTGCTGGGAAAGGCACACTGAAGAATAAGGAAATTCTAGATCTAAAGGTTGGAATTGGTGGCATACATTTGTAAAAACAAAAGCCTGGCTCAAAAGGTCAAAAATCCAAACCCAAACCCAAGCCAACCAAACTGAAACACAAAACTTTGAAAACCCAATGACCTAGGCTTAAAGGTGTTGTTATGAAGGCAGTGAGGGATGGTAGGGGCTGGATGGTAAGGAGAGGTAGAAGTAGGATTGGTAGGGTCCCTTCCAAAGACAGTGATGAACTGCCTGGTAGACACACCATCACCGACAGCACTAGCACAATTACATTTCCAAAAGAACAGGTCGACACTGGGGCCAGCTGCCAATGTGAGAACTACCCAGCTACTTCTGATGTGAACCCAGGATGAAAATTTCCAAATCCAGTCTGTTACCTTCATTACTACCCTCTAGTCCAACTTTACAACTGGGAAGAATGAAGACGCTTATATAGTTTTATGGTCAACACAGAGTAGTTAATTTATACAACAAAAGGCACCCATCTTTTAATTCTCACTTATTAACTATTCTCAAATATTTTTACAAGGTGCTCTGTATCACCCCTTCTTTGAAACTGAAGCTCCTCAAAAGGCATGAATTATTTTCTTTCCCACATGGGTCCATGCGATGCTTGCGTATACTGACATTTCTGTAGGAAAGGCATCAGTGAAACTTGGCCACAAAGTCATGCATTCATGCAAAAAATTAAGACAGCAATGTGATGTTGTGTGAAGAGCAAAATGACTGTAAGTTAGAAGTCTACAGTCTGGGTTCTTCCACTTACCAGCTGTGTGATCTTGGGCAAGTCTCTGAGTCTTAGTTTCCCCATCTGTGAAATGAGGGTCATGATAATACTATCTATGCCTACTTCCCAGTGATGACATAAGAAATCCCAGCACAGCAGTGATAGCAACAACAGCAATAGTATAGATCAAAGAGTTTTGTGAACTGTAGAGGACTCAAGTATTTACTGTGGGGGCATGAAAAGCACACCCAGGCTCTAAAGCCAGACCTGGGTTTTAGTTCTAGAGCTACATTAGCTGCAAGACCCTGAAAACTCTAAACTTTGATTCCATTTTCTGTAGGGCTAGAGCAGGAACACTCACCTCACTATGCACTCATGAAAGCACAGACTACAGGCTACACATAGAGTGTGCAGAGTGGCTGGGATATAACTGGAAACCACAATTACTCTTGTTCTTTGTGGGTTTACAGAAAGCTTCCCCTTCCTGATAGAATAGTGGAGGGAGGGGATATGCAGAAGCAAATAAAAGACATGGTCCCTGTCCTCAAGAAGCTTTAGTCATTTTGGAAGATAACACATACACACATTAAACAATATTGAAAGGATTACAGAACAGCAGATAACAAGCTTAAAATGATTGACAGGCAGAGCCCTGCTCTTTCCCTGAACCTTATATATAGCTCACAAGTCGACTCCTGATGTATGTGCAATTTGTTCAAGGAGATTTCTTGTCCTGTTTGGGAGCAGCGATGGACCATTTGCTAGCTTGTGACTGTTTTACCCATGAACCCTGGATTGCTTCTCAGATTCTCAGTCTGATTTTTCTGTTCTTCTCTATCCTAATGCTAGCATCCTAAAAACACCAAACAAAATCTTTGCTCTAAAGACTCACTGCTGACAGCTTGGTGAATGCCATGGTTACCTCAGTTTTGCTGTGATCTGTTTGTGTTTAGGACAGTAAAATATGGACAGAGAATCAGAGCCTATCTATGAACACCACAGCAATGTTCCTTCACCGTCATACAGTAACGCACATGCTGGAGCGGCACAGGAGGAAACAGACATCATTACAGGCTCTTTGCAAGAGGCAGTCTCAGGGCCCCACTATAATGGCAGCAAAGACATGGCGTCACAGAAAGAAAGGAACCCCAGAAGCAGAATTAGTCAAGCAGAGGCACAAAGGTGAGAGTTACTTATGTACAGGATTGGCAAGCAGGTTGACTCAGCTGAGGAAAAGGAAAAAGAAAGCTCAAAAGTGCTACAAGGCATGAAGAGGAACTAGAAACATGGGCTCTAAGGTTGACAGGCTGGATAGAGTATGAAGGAATTTTTATCTCCTATTTCAAGAGCCATCTTCCATACTTAAGAGTGTCCATTAAAAGTAAGCATTACTAAAAATTTGAAAGCTGCAAACAATACTGCTCTGACATACAAAGAAACTATGCCCTATGCTTTACTTAATCCGTTTTAATGTCCTCCTGTGTTCTAGCCCAGTGCCTTAAGAGAGCAGAGCCTCAGTTAAGAAGGTGAACTACATTTAGCTGGCCTTTTTTATACAAGTCATGTGTTATACAGGCTCCTCATAACTAAGCCATGAATAAGACAGGCTAAATTTGAGAGCAGATTTGTTTTCAAGATTTGCAGATTCAGGAAAAGATTATTAATCTGCAGGAAATCCTGAAGAATGCTTTCCAAGGGCTCACTGCTCTACTTGACTATGCTCAACTTGAGGGCAGAGTCCATGTCTTCTCGGGCTTTGCTTTTCATGGATCTAGTAGTCTAGGGCAGAGCACACAGTGGATGCTTGGTAAATGCTTCCTGAAAGGATACAGTACATGGGTCAAGGCTAAGTGGAGAATGGCATAGGATTGTATGTTAGGAAGCATTCTCTTCTTAGCTGTAACAGCTTCCGTGATGAGTCATCATCATCAGATGATACAGACAGGCCAGCAGAAGTCAACCACCATTCAGTACAGACTCAGCTTCCCATGCCTGAAACATTAGGAGTTCTAGATTCTAGCTCTGTATCTTCTA